GGCTCAGTTGTTGGCCAAGGCTGAGGCTTATCGTCTCATCCTCTTATTCCCATACATGCATCATCACCCTCTGTTTCTCTCCTTCTTCGAACTCTTCCCTCTTTCCTCTCGGTCCCTCTCTTCTCCTCCTTCCCTTTCATTCTCTCCCTCTCCTCTTCTCTTCGACTTTCCTTCTTCACACTCACACATACACACCGTCGCATTCTGTAAATGTGCAGTCCAGAACAAGCACCAACCTCTCATACAAGGTACTAGATAGCATAGCGGAAGACAGATACCAATGATCCGAACAATCAATATTGCAATGCGGCCCAGACATACATCATCATCGTTCCATAGTGTGAAGGGGTCTGACGCTCTCACGGGACGATGAGCCAGTCCTCGCTATACATAGACGAAGAGGAGGCTAGTCGAAGAAGAGGGAAGGATGGGAATGTCGTCAATACCAAGTCCTCGATACATGCCCCACATAATCCCTCGTCCAATGTCTCAATCCAAATGTCGAGTTTGAGTCCAAATGTCGTCAAGTCTCGATTCACAACTCTCTCTCTCCTTTCTCTCTCTCACTTTCTCCATTCTCCTTCTCCATCTTCTCTCTCCTTCTCCTTTTCCTCTCTTTCTCCATTGTCCTTCTCCATCTCCTCTCCGATCTTTCTCCTCTCCTCCTTTCTCTCTCCTTCTCTCCACTTTCTCCCCTCTCTCTCTCTCTCATACACACCTACGCACCCTGTTGCATACCGTCAAAGGTGCTGACTAGAACAAGAGTAGATTTCTCATATAAAGTACAAGATAGCGTAGCAGACGACTTAGATACCAATGATCCGAACAATCAATATTGCAATGTAGCCCCAACTTACCTCATCATCGTTTTCACGGTAAGAAGGGGTCTGGCGCTCGTACAGAACGAACGTGCCAGTCCCCTTCATACACAAACGAAGAGGAGGGGTCAGACGAGGAAGGGGAAAGATGGGTATGTCATCAATACCAAGTCAGTGATACAAGTCCCAAGTAATCCTTGTCCTATGTCTGAATCCCAGTGTCGAGTCCGGATCCTAGGTCATCGAGTCTCAAGTCACCACTCTCTCCCTCTCTCTCTCACACACGTAGTCCGCAGACACTGAGAAGTCTGATGGAGAGAGGGTGAAGAAGAGATGGTGGACTTAGAAGAGGAAGAAGAAGGATTCTCTCTCACACACACACACACACATACACACATGTAGTGTGTGTACATACCCATATTTCAGCAGTAGATTTATTTATTTTATTATTTATTTATTTATTTATTTATTTATTTATTTGATTTATTCATTCCGGAGGTAAGCCGCATAGTTGTAGACTCACCTGCCCTCTCTCTCCTTTTGCCTCTGTCCGAGTTGTCGTCATCGTCGCGCCGCTTGAGGCCGTCGTCTGCCGGAGCCTTCGTCGTTGACGAGCTTTGCCGCCTATTCTGGTAAGTATTTCTTCTTTTTTTCTTCCTTCGACTCCTTCTCCTCTTCCCTTCACTACAGCATGTGACTTCTCCGCCTCTTCTCCTCTTCCTCCTCCTCTCTCCTCCTTCTCTCCTTCTTCCTCATTTCGCCTCCTCCTAGCTAGTTCCTTGCCTTACTGTTTGTGACCTCCTTCCTCTCGCACAAGCGTTAGCATTCGCATGTTGCTTCCGCGTTAGTGCCCACCGAGCGCTTAGCCCGCCTTCGAGTGCGTTCTCTGCGAAAGGGTTGCGCTTCGCTGCTGCCCGTGTTCTCGCCTCCCCCTTTCGTTTTTCTTAAATGGCATCGTCGCGCTCTCGCTCCCGCAGTGTCTGCCCTCAGAGAGATCCGACTGGGCACGATCATGAGGCTACCTATCAGATGAATCTTGCCCCTGTATAGGGCGGGATTCATTTGGGTACCCTCAGGGCAGATAAGCCGTTGAGGAAAAGCAACAAGAGTAAGAAAAAGTCGAGAAAAGGAAAAATGATAAATTTAAAATCTAATAAAGAAGAACTGAAATAACAGAATCTAACGAAACTTTACCTACAACTCCCCCTACCTTGCCAAGTGTCAGAGCCCACTTTACTGGGCCTTAGCCACCCTCGTCCCTAACTAACCTCGATACCGAGGTCAAGGGTTCGAGCCCCGGCCAAAACGTTACCGGGTTAAAATGCAATTGAGCTCCCCGACAAAAAGGGAGCTAGCTCAGGGGTTGGCAAGCTTCGATCCCTGCATCCCCTGCGTAGTAATCAACGCCTAAACCTACTAAGCTAGCTCCCATTTCGAATAGAAAGGGAGCAACTCAGTATGTATACAGTAGTTGGGCCCTGTCCAACCAGTGGCCCGAGCCTGTTTCCAGGTCTCGTGCGTGTGCGCATGCTTGCTGGTCTGCATGCCTTCCTATGTGCATGTCGGCTTGAGTATGGGTGTGACGAGTAAGGGCACTTGGTGGACTGGTAGGCACGAAGGGCCGATACTTACCCGTGGCTGCGACATTAAGGGTCGCGGCGGGAATATGCTCAAGTGGCGGGAAAAGAGGCTTGCGGCAGTGAAAATACTCAATTAGCACGCAGTCGGTACCTCACCAAGTAGAGGTAGATGCGCCGGGTACTCGAGACCGAGCATACGAACACAACAGTTGACACTTTTAGACACCCAATACAGGTAGATAGACAGGTAGTATTCCCAAGTCTCAGTGTGCGCCGTAGATGTACATGACACAGACTCTAACCTAATCAACCCCTCGGCCTCTTCTGTCAACGGGGCATTACTACCGATTGTACCCATTACAACGCGTGTCATAACAACGCGCGCACATACTTTCGAAATTTTATCACCGATTCGCCCCGGCCTCATTGGCCGAGGAATTTGTTTCGAGTGTCACGCTAAAGCGTGCATACCGTTTCCACTCCATCCCGACTCCATCATGGTAGCCGACGTCGTCACTGTGTCGAATGCAAAAGTATGGCCCCGTCGCCTGAAGAACTATATGCAAAAAAAAAATGTTTTTCGACAAGCAATTCGTCAAATCCGAATTCTGGGATGAGATGTGGTTCAGGATTTGACGTCGTCACCTCACTTTTCATTACTACTGTCGGGATTCTAACCCGGGTCTCCCACATTGTAAAATAACTGAATAACTTGAAGTGCGGATACTTGATCCGTACTACAGTATATAAAATATTTAAGTATGACAACGCGCCTTTCCTCTCCCCACTCCCTTAGACTTTCGACCCAGGTATTCGTTGGTTATTTTCAGGGTTGGTGTTCGCGTACAAACCCATTCCGTCAAACGCGGGTCCTAATCGAGACCTTGGTTGTTCAACTCTTGATATTACTTGTCCAAAGTTGCCTGCTGTCCTGCCGGAAGCCTAATACAGGAGGACAACGGTCTCCATCATGACCCACCACAGTCTTGCTGATCAGGCCGGAGCTGCAGCCCACCTCGTTGTTGCTTATCGGTGGTTACCCTCGTTGGTTGCGCAACGATGGGATATTCATCCTATGTTTTCAAAATTCATAGATTTCAAGACTAATCTCGACCCCTTCGACGTCTACCTTAACAGATTCCATCACTGGGGTGGCCATCCCCTCTAGTCCCTCTTCTAAGCCATAGTCGAAGGGTCCGCTGCCTGGTTATGCTAGGTCAGCAGCCCACGCTAGGAGTTACGTTCCAACGATGTAAATTTTCCACCATAGACTTGGTAATTTATGCCCTCAGGTTAACCCTTGAGGTGGATGAACGATGCTTCTCTTAAATAAACCAAATAAATGAGATTTTCCAGATAAATTGAGCAATTGTCAGGCTGCCACTTAGGGTTGTGCCCTCCAAGTCTTTGATCATAGCTTGGTGAGGCACAACCTTGGGGTCATTTTGTATTATAAAAAAAATTATAATATTAAGATGAAATAAATATTTGTTGACTCTTTGTTTGTCTGAAACCAACAAAACAATCATCCCACTCAAATCCATTTGTAAAAAAAACAATGTTCTATCTCATGAGAGGTATTTGCCCAATCCATAGCATGGCATTTCCAATTATACACATAGATCAATCCAACATCAGGTGATTCAATCTTTTGTCGTCTTTCATTCATTCACTAACCCGCCCGTCCCTCTATCACCATTCCAGACCTCAGAGGATCCATAAATAGTAATAGACGAAGGGAGGTACTCATCATAAAAGAGACTTGATAATCATAGACATGGGAACGCATACAATGTGAAGTGTTTTGAGGTCACCAACTCATTTGCCCCTGATCTCATATATATAAGTGCAAAATACAAGTATGATACAAAGTCTCATCAGTGATTCATCCACTCATCCTTATCTATTCCCCCTGAATGTTCATGCACCCCGTCCTACTAAATTCTAACTCTTCCTACTCACTCATACACCCTCTCTTCTCAGTTCACAACTCTTATACCTCCTATCCTAAGAAGTCAATCGCCGACCCCAACATCCTATGGAGTTCCATCCTACCACCCTCAGGTGTCCTGGGGATCACCAGCCCATTGTTAGCTACCAGTCTTCCTCTTGAGTCAAGTCTGATCATCCCTCTCCTAATATACTCAGCTAATACCATACAACCATCCCTGAAATGCCCCTCCTCTCTGCAAAAGAAGCACCCCTTATGACCCTTCTTGTATCTGGCTCTCTAGGCCAGAGGTCTACTTGCAGTCTCAGCCTGACTCCCTGCCCCCTCAGATGATTCCAGGCCAGGCTTCTCACTTCTCTTTATGCCCCTCTGTTGAGGCACATCCAGTCTTTCACCTTTACCTTCCAGTGGGGCAGATGGTACATCAATTCTTGTTTTTTTTTGTGGCTCTATGCTGGATGATCTTTCTTTTCCTGCCTCAGTCTGCTCATCCACCTTCCCTCCTTCTTCCTTTGACTGAGGGACCCTTTCTCCTCCTTCTGCCAATCTGATCTCAAGTCACCCTTCCTTCTGCCTTTCCACCATTTTCGTGGTTTCATCCCTTTTCTCTTGATGGCTCAATTTGAGCTCTTCCATCCCTTTCAATATTTCACCCCATCTTTTCTTTCATTCCTAATCCAACTGCTTTCTCTCAGATATCTCAGTATCCAGGTCCTATCCTTGCACACTGACCTCTGAGCACAAACCTTCGACCTTCTTCTCCACCCTTCCCCTCGCAGCTGCTTCATCCTCCAATTCCTTGCCTTTTATGGTCAGGGAGGCCTTCAAAGTGCTCACTTGTTTTTTCAACTCCTCCTTTCCCTTCTTCAACTCCTCCACTTCCTTCTTCATCCCTTCCACATCTTCTATCAACTTCACCACCTGGGCATCCCTCTCTTCCTCCTTCTTCCTTAGTCTGCTCATTTCTTTCAAGAGCCTTGGGATGTAGTAAAAAAATCCTTGAGTGAAGAGTTTTATGCTACCCTTGAGCTCTGCCTGGAGTCCTTTCCCTATTGCGTCCACGTCCTCCCTAAACCCCTTCATTCCATTTTCTCCTTCCATCTTTTCCATCTTCCGAGCAATCTCAGCATATTCTTCGAAGAGCCTGGTGCACTTCTTATCTAACATATCATGCAGCCCCATCATTTTCTGCAAGTTGCGTAAGTGTTTGGAGCTATTTACCAGTTCTGAGAAGAGCATCCTCTTAAGTTTGACATCCCACGTGGAGTTTACAGGCAGGTCATCGTCTTGGAGCATCCTAATTATGTAGTTCCTCCAGCCTTTCCTCTTTTTCTCCCTTTGAGCTCTCTCATCCTTACTCTTCTGCTCTTCCTCCACCTCCTTTCTCAACTGGGATGGCTCACCACGCTCAACCTTTCTCTTTTTTGTTCCAACTTCCACTCCCTTGCCTCCTTTTAACCTCACTTCTTCTTCGCCCTTCTCTCCTTCCACCACCTCTCTATCTCTAATTGGCCCCTTAGTTCTTACGACCCTTGGAACCATGTCTCTTTCCTGGATCTTCTCTCCTCCTCCTGTCTCTTTTTTTTTTCTTGCTCCTCCTTCCTTCTCAGTCCTCCTTTCCACTACTCTTTTCCTTCCAACCTCAATTGGTCTTTTCTCCTCAATCTTTCTCTCCCTCTGTGCCACGCTTGCCCCTGCTAGGCTTCTTCTCCTCCTTGTTGCCGCCTCCCCCTCTTCCTTTTCACCTTCCTCTGCCTGGTCAGACGCTCTGCTGCTGCTCTTGGGGACAACCCTCGCCTTGTTCCTTTGTCTTTTCAAGGGTACATCTTCTTCTTCTTCATCCTCTGCCTCCCTTTCCTGCAGCTCATCAATTTCCTTCCAATCCACAACCCCCTTTTCCTGCAACCTTTTCTTCCTCGTCCGATCTTGTCTTGCCTGGGTGTATGCTATTCTCATCTCCACTGTTATTCTCTGCCAGATGCGACTCCCTTCCACGATCCCCTTCACTTCCTCCTTCTCACTTCCTCCTTTTTACTCCCCTCCAGATTTGTTCCATCAAACCGCAAGTCATCCTCAATTTCATCTCTTGGAATGTCCTTTCACGATCTCACCATGCACTGTGTGTCCGAAAATGGATTCAACGCGGGTTTCACGTTGAAAAATTGAACGCGCGTTGAATTTTCGTTCAATCCCCGTTCAAACGCGCGTTGGACGCGAATGAACGGGGTCCGCGAACCACGTTTCCTCTCATTTGGGGGGGGGGTAGGTGTTTTGTAAAAGTGTAGGGTGGTAGTGTCCGTTGTCCGGTACCGCCCCATGCACTTTTTTTTTTTTTTTTGCAAAAAAAACAAAAAAAAAACGCGCGAACCCCTTTGTATCCTCCAGGGCGTTCACGGGGTGCCTGCTGGGGGGTGGCGCAGGGGAAACGGTCCGAACGGGTACAAAAATGGTACTTACGTTCGACCGCAGTTCATTTGCCGCGCGAGCCATACAGCTCCAACGCGACAAACAGGTTTCCTGTGCGTCGAAGGCTGCGAGAGAGAGAGAGATAAAGAGAGAGAGAGAGAGAGAGAGAGAGAGAGAGAGAGAGAGAGAGAGAGAGAGAGAGAGAGAGAGAGAGAGAGAGAGAG